TTAGCATTATCTGTATCTTCTCACAGAGGTGCTAACATGGCTCTGCACTTTTGTTAAGGAACCTGTATTATGATTTCTAAGGTTTTCCCTTTCTTCTAGTGTCCTATAGCTTTTATTTGCATGTATAAGATTTGCACACCTACAAAGTCCAGGTTTTCCTCTCGTTACTTATTGACATCACAGTGGAACAAACACCTGCATCGTGGACAGTTTGGCCCTAAAACAATGAATGAGCGCCATCATCTCATCACTAGAGCTGCTTTGCCTAAACTCACTGATTTGGTGCGTAGCCATTGTTGCTTTGGCCAGAACGGACTGGGTTTGTTGAGAGGAATTTATTAGAGAGACGGGAAGTAAAACAAAGTGCTTCAGACAGAGTATGAGAAATGGAGCTGCAGCAATGTACAGTATAAGAATTTACCCCCCAAATAAAATTCAGATCTTATAAGTGGGGATAATATGGGCTCTTTAAGTTAAACTCACCACAAAACAACAGCAATAAAAGTTTACGTGCATAATCAAATAACACTCAACAAAGTGGTTTGGGGAAAGAAAATTAAACCAAGTTTACTGAAAATAGCTTCAGCATTGTCACCCAGGGTTAAAGTATTTATGTGCAGAAAATGAAAGAACAGGGCATTTTCTCTAAAGGATAACAATAAAATCTAAGTAAATCTGAATTTACAGACACATATAACGCCTGCAAGTTTGAAAGGGATTCTGATATTCTACTGTAGGATTCATCTTCTTTCTGTTTAATTAAAAACAGTAATTATTTGGCTGTACCATAAATGCTATCTGTGCTTTTCTTGTGATGAGCTGGACAAATTGTCTGCCATTTTTTTCTGCCTTGAGTAACTATTTGGGGAGATTTGTGGGAAAGTAAACTGCAAATTTGCACATTTTTGCTACTGTTCACACATTTCATATGTTTTTAATGTCATATCTATTTGTAGATCTTTAACGCTGGGTTTGTTTTATAGCACCTCACTTCTTGCACAACCACACACAGCAGCAGCAATCGTGCTCTGAATAATGCTCAGAATGACAAATACATACTTTCACTGAACTCGTTTGAGATGTGACGACAATGTGACTCATAACGAATGACATATTTGCTTCCATTTAGTAAAGATGAATGAGGAAAAAGTGAATTTTTGGGGATTTTTTTTGCTCTGAAGATGGAAAAAAAAAGGAGCACTTGTCCCCCATAGTGGAATCATTTAGTAAACGTCAAAAGGCATCAGCTGGCTTTTACTGTCATTTTACTGGCTGCAAACACTCAACCGGCGTTTCCTTTCATTTGTGTTTCAGAGCTCCTCGGTTCTGCAAAGAAAGTGAATGTCAACTTCCAGGACACAGATGGGTGAGTTTTCCTCATTTTTCCTCCACTATCATTTGCTGTTGTTTCCCAGCCTCACTTTCTCCATCCCCACTGCCACGATCGCTCGCCTCCCCTTTCAGCATCCATCCCAGCGTTCTCTCCCCCCTCCCTGTCTTTGCTCCCATTCATATAAAAGCTGTATTATCACTTGTGTCTCTATAGTATTAAAAGCTGGAGGATTACCCTACATACCACTCAGCAGAAGCACAAACCAGAATGTTCGTATGAGAGCATTAATGGCGTGGTTTCATGATATTATAGGTGTTGCATGTACGTCTCCTGACCTCTTTTACGGCTAAAAAGCCTCGCGTGTGCTCAGCATGTGGTTACGTGCCTTCTGCGAGCTCCTGTTTCGTGAGTCGCTGCTTAAAACACACAGAACAACAATAAACAAAGCATCAAATGGCGAACTGTGGCCCGCATCCATGCAATCTGGTTTCATTATGTAACAGAGAACATTCAGAGAGACTGGCTGCATTTTATTGTTTTTTTTTTTTTTTACTTTTTGACTAAAGGCTGGGTAGAAACAAAGCAGGTTCACAGTGTGAAATTGGATAATTAGTTATATGCAATCGACCCACGGGGAGAATTCAGAGCGCTGGCAACTAGAACTGACAGAAGAAAAAGACGACTATACATATATTGTTGTAAGATCTAATATGTCAAAATATGTCTGATGTTACCTTAAACCATAGTATCTGCTGTTTTATATATTGATCATGTTGCAAATAAAGTGGCAAAATACAAGTTTTTTGCTTTAATTATCATTATGAAGTGAATGTTGATTGCTTAATTTACTGACTATAGAGTATTTACACCATCTTTACATTGGCCGCCCATTAGCCAAGACACTCCGTCCAAAATCTCACGGGAAAATGAAGGTTTGATTTGAAAAGCCGAGTTGGTAAAGGAGGCAAAGAAAGCAAGATGGGAGAGTGATGGAAGCTGAGATAACACGAGGGTGAACCTGGGATTGGCATGCACTCGATGGAAAGAGCTTCATTAAGGTAAAGGTATTGACGGTATCTAAAGATGGATGGACCCTCTCTGATGTCACCCATAGGTTTTGCAGACTCAGTGTGGTGACCTTCCAACTCAAAGCTAATCCAAAAATGATCAAGTGTGATTGAAGTAGGCCTGTCCGATAATGGCTACCCAATGCAGCCACGCCCCTAATTGTAGCCTTAATAAAATGTAAACAGGTGAGTCATATAAAGATTCATCCACCTCACAGTCGACATAAATAAAAAAATTAGCTCCAAAGACCAAAACCTCTCTTTGTATGAGGCTGTAAACATGGTTATTTCTGCTGAAAAGTTGCCCATTTTAACATGGGCGTCTATGGGTATTGACTCACTTTTGGAGTCACCCTCAAGTGGACGTTCAAGGAATTACAGCTCTTGGCTCTGCTGTATTGGCTTTAAACCCAGAGATTGATGCTCGAGTAAAGGTCAAATTCTCCATTTGAATTTTTTCCTCCTTTGTCGGAGGCATCCGCGACTTTGCCTTGCCGATTTAGCTCGGGTATGATGTGACAAAAGGACAAATTGTTCCAAAAAGGTTCATTATTCCTTTAGAAATACCTTCCCAGAAAGAAAAAAAAAATCGAATGGCAAGCTAAGAAAATACGAGTGAAGGTCGGACGGTCAGAAATGTTGTAATTAAATAAATATTTCAGCAGCAAGCGAGCAAGTGTGCAGCAGACGTCATTGTCCCAGAATAAAGGCCAAAAATATGAAATTAGTCAGCTGTTGCCATCAGCATTCATCCTGTCCTTGGTGACCCTGTTGAATATATTTCAATTTTATTGCCACAAAACAGCCCATTATGTTCTTCCAGCAGAGCTCTCTTCAGACCTCCAGCTGGTCGTCTGGCTTCCCTACATAGCATCTTCCCGTTTCAATTCAACACAGACAGTAGTGCAGTTTTTAACATGTTGTAATTTAATTGTAATATTATATACTGGTATTAGATGTTTAATCTTTGATCTTGTGGCATCAATAAATACAGTTACTTCAGAGAGTTTTCTGACCAACTTTTTGCATACTTTACTGTGGTACTGATTGCATATTAAATTGACAAGGCATCATGTTGTCTCCTTGTCTTTTCCTCTGAGAAGCCATAGTATGATGGTGCCACTCCCATGCTTCATCATAGGGATGGTATATTTACCAGAAGATGAGCAACGCCAGGTGACATAGTGCTTGGAGTTCAACTTCTTCATGTAGTCAAGAGTCTTGAAAATGCAAAGTTAGCTTTCATGTTCCTATTTACTCAGACTGGCTTCCGTTGAGCTGCTCCACCTAAAAGGCCTGACTAATGGAGTGCTGATGAGATGGTCATCCAGGTGTTCCATCTCTGCAGAGGACTTCTGTAGCTTTGTCACTGTTGGGTTCTTTGTCTGCTCACTGGCCAAGGAACTTCCTGCTCAGTTAGTCTGGACGGCCAACTAGTGGTTTCAAACTTCTCCTATTTCACAGTTATTAAGACCTCTGTGCTCCGGGGAACACTCAGAGATTTGAATAGTTTTATTCCCTCAACAAGATCTACGCCTCACCACGGTTTCATTGCAGAGATCTATAGAGCGTTTTTGTCCTGACAGGATTAGATTTTTAAGAAATTTGCATGCATTTCTACATAACTTTTCACTTTAGGGGTTATTATGGGTTGTTGAGTGGAGACTGATGGAGGAAAATGGCAGTTTTATTCATATAAAATACAATTTACAGTGCTATAAAAGTAAAGGTTTCTTAATACTTTCTGAAGTGACTGAACCATTGCTTGTGAAAGTACTCAGTCCCCTTCACTCTTTGCTGCACACATTATTGTCATAAAAACTGATGACATTGCCATTCTTGCCCAACAAACTGCACTCAGTAATTCATCGAAACACAATAAAAGTTGCAAAAAGTGATCTGAATACTTTCGCAAGCAAATGTATAACAACCGCATTACATTCACAATCATCTGTTTGTCTAATTTATTTATTGAAAACATCCCTGACTTCAGATATCCAGAGAATATCTTTTTAAAAGGTGCTTAAAAGTCTCAAAGTCTTTCTCAAGAAGCTACCCAGAACCTGAACAGCGTGTAATGACCAATAAAGTATGCTTTATACGCCACTCATGCTTCTCAAAGGGAAACCTTTTGCAGGACTGTACCATAAAGGCTACATTGGCTCTTTCCAGATAACTCAATGCATGATCCGATGAATGGATGACTTTGCAATCACCACAGCAACCAAACTGGACACCAAGGAGATTTTGTGCTGCTTTTCAGTCGACAAACAGTGACAGAAACTATAGAAACGGAAGAGCCACATTTAGGAACCGTACTTGAGAAGAAGATAGGGAGCGATCTTTCCCAGAGCCCTCTTCTTACTTTCTTTTTGCATATGAAGGTTTGGGGAAAGGACAGAAGGTGTTGTATGGCAGCTTTACTAAATACACTCCTGATCAAAATCTTAAGACCAGTTAAAAAAAATTGCATGAATTTGCATTTTGCACTGTTGGACCTTAGGAAGGTTCTAAGTAGAGCTTCAAAATGCAAAAAGAAGAAACAGGAACAAGAGACCAAAAGTTGTGAGCAGGCAATTTATTGAAAACAACCATTTAACTCAAATAGGCTGTTCATATACTAAACCTAGTTCTTGGTTCCTCTGGTAGAAACATGGCTTTTACGTCTTTGTATCCTTCAAGATGAGCGTCTCTCTTCTTCGGCAGCCACATTTCAAGTACAATTTAAAGCTGCTTTGCTGCCATCGTTCGCAATTTACAAGCATAATGCGGCTCATTTATGATTGATGCTGTAATAAATGCTTTGTGTGGCTGCGCTTCACTCATTTTAATTAATGTACACAGCACACTGCCCTGTATAGTGCTTTTTAGAGAAATTCATTAGCCGACATTCCCAGGCACACTGAAAGACCGAGGTTTGCAGTGCGTTTATAAAAAGACAAAGTCAATATGAAATTAAATGCTTTATTGGTAATTCCTTTAATACAATCTTCATTCTTCAATCCGCTTCATGAATTTGTCTGCTGGAGCTTCTCCAGCGGTATTGATGGAGTTCCCCCATGTACTTCGTTCTGTGCTTCAACTCATCCCAGACCATCTCCGTTGGGTTTACATGATCGCGGAGGTCAACATGAAGACCTGATTCTCTGATTCTTCTGTCAATTTACTGGGTTGGACCTAAGCATCAGAATCAGCTCCCTGCTCAGACATATATAACGGATTATTTTCATGATTAAAAAAAAAGGCTTCTAATTGTGATGAGGTGAATTTTTAGGTGTTTAATCGATGACCAGAGAGGGATTTCAAACCGATTGAACTAACTGTGATCAGCTGTTCTGGAAGTTAAAACTCTGAGTTTCCCATCTAAGGGTTGGTCAACTCGAAGTTCAGGTTCCATCCATCCATCCATTTTCTTATCCGGGGTCGGGTCGCGTGGGCAGCAGGTGGAGCAGGTCATTCCAGACTTCCCTCCCCCCGGCGACGCTTTCCAGCTCTTCCTGGGGGCTTTCTGAGGCGTTCTCAGGCCAGCTGAGAGATATAATTCCTCCAACGGGTTCTGGGTCTGCCCCGGGGTCTCCTTCCAGGTGGACGTGTTCGGAAGACCTCCAGAGGAAGTCTCTCCGGAGGCATCCGAATCAGATGTCCATACCACCTCAACTGGCTCCTTTCGCCATGAAGGAAGAGCGGCTCGACTCCGAGCTCCCTCTGGATGTCCGAGCTCCTCACCCTGTCTCTAAGGCTGAGCCCAGCCACCCTGCGGAGGAAGCTCATTTTGGCCGCTTGTATCCGCGGGTCCTGACCAAAAGAAGTTCAGGTTTAGAGTTTGTTAAACCTGTTTTATGGACTAGACCCCTGATGGTCTTGAACATATTCCGAAGGACAGATTAGCTTTTGGTGAAGTTGACCTCTTAACTAACGACCACGGCATGCGACGATCTCATGAAGCTGGATTGTTTTTGAGGCAAA